TTAAAAGGAACAATATTTTAATATTTCAACATTCTGAGGTTTTGATGAGAAATTATTGCTAGATTTCAATTTTCATGAAGGAAATTTGGTGAATATAAAGTAAACTTGCACAGTAATTAAAGTTTTCATAAATTACACCACCTTATAATGCAAATAAAATTTGTAAATTCCACTTTTCCAATCAAGAACTTCATAATGCATTTCCATTCTTTAAATGGATTCCATCTTTCAATGAGATTAATACAAGCAGACATATTCAGAGCAATCACATTGAATTGTTTATCATTGAAAGGAATAAATATTTACAAAGACTATTTTGCCAATAAATGTTAACAGAGCAACATTCTATTAAATTCATTCCTCAATAATTTAGACCCTAGAAAAGATCAAAGAAGATTGTCTGATTCTGCTTAGCACTGATCCAAACTATTACAAACTTGATTAGAAATCACACTTCCTGTGTTATCTTCAGGACAGATATAAAAGGGAATTATTTTTAAACAAAAAGATTCATTTTCAGCTTATAAAAATGCAAGGCTATCAATTTTGAAGATTTTCATTGTATGCTTCATCCAATCCAAAGTAAACATTACACTGAAAAGTTTTAAATTATCTTATTAATATAAACTATACAATTTAAGAAAAATTATCTTGCACAGATTAACTATAATCTTTTTTTTTTCAAATATGAATAAAAGCACACATGAAAGTAGACTGCAAGCTATTTCATCTTAAATTTATATACAAAGGTTAAAATGTTTGGAATATTTGATGACATGACTTATATTTGTTGGGAGGAACATGAAAGTAGACTGCAAGTCATTTTATCTTTAAATTAATAAAGATAAATTTTTCATGATATTTGATGACTTTGATTCAATATTTTTGTTGGGAGGATCAAGACTTCTCTGGTGTGAGTTTGTTTAAGGAGACAGAACCTATCTTCTTTGTTGACACATCGTTGATCACTGCCGGGCCAATCCATCAATAACTGTTGAAAACTCAGAAAAAGACAAAGAAATGGACTGCGCGAGTCCTCATACCGCCTGATTATATCGTACAGTGGAGAGTTTTTAATCTTACGAGCTGATTAAACCTCTCTATTGATTTCTGCCGCGATGACAGCCCTACACCTTTACAACCATCAACACATGTTTATTCAAAGATAAATGGACCAAACTTTTTCACTTTTCCACTTCAAGTTAATCCAAATTTTCAAACAAAATTATACGAAGGTTTCCGAATTTCCTGGACTGCCTCTGGTTTTGTCTGCTTGGGTTTGTAAACACGCCACTCGACGCTGAAATACGCTGCTGTTGCTTCTACGTTTCAGCGGAATGCCGACAGTCGTGTGGAGGGAATATTTGCACTCTTGTGAAAAATGAAGTTGCAAATGCACATTAACAGCAAAACATGACCAAATGTGCCACCTTAAACATTACCCTACTGCTACATTAATGCATGTTTTGTTCTTTTTTGGGGGTTCCCTCTCAACAGCATAAAAAATAACATAGAAAGCTTCAGTGTATATTTTGAAATTTCTGAGAAACTAATTACTATAAAAGTTTGAGGTTATAAGCCTTTTTTGAAAATAATGATGTTTTTTGTGTGATCCACAAGACCCTGCCTTAAACAGGAACTGAATGAAATGTAGTTTCCAAATTTTGAGGGTTACTAGTATTTTGTTTCTAGCATGAAAGTAGACGGATGAAGGAACCAGAATGACACTTCCCCTCTAATTTTGCAGTCAAAACAAAGTGCACACTAGAGGCATATTTCTTAAAAACACTTTCATTCATACATGCTTACTCTTATGTCCCAATTACCAGGAATAAAGTTATTTAAGGCATATTGTATCAAGGTTACAAAAAATATCCAACTACCAAAATTTCTCAAAACTACTTCACTTGGGCCAACACTAATATAGTTTTGTCTAAGAATTTTGAGTAATGGCAAACAATACATTGAAATATTTGCCTTGTGAAATTCATTTGTCTCCGAGCACACTGCTCTCTGACCCTAGGAGTTCCCAGAATTCCAAAGGCCCCAGTGATAAACCTGCTCTTCACACACAGGAGAGCTCCTTCAGCTTGAGAGCCCCACATATCTGGGTAGCGTGTTCCATGCCAGTACTTTAAGGCTTGGACAAGTGGACAGAAAAATCTACCCAGAATTCCTTGTTCCTGATCTGTCACCACGCTCCCATCACAGCGAGATTAAAACTTGTCAGTAGAAGTACCCATGATCAAAGAAGAGACTCAGTGTGTTTTGAATGGAGATTTTGGCTGTCTTCTTCTATCTGACACAGACCTGTTATCAATGGATGTGTCATTCCTGATCAATTTGAAGTCCTCCTGCACAGTATTTCTCTATTTCTTTTTCCTGGTCTCATGTACTATAATACCCACTTCCCATTTTAAAATCCAGCTTTATAGTACTGTATATACTCCACTATAAGTTGGTCCACTAAGATCACGTTTGAGTGATATACCATTCATCCTCTTATAAATCAGAACAATTTTTTGCAGACAGATTATACTACTATGGTGTTTTTTTTTTCTATGTTTCAAATATTTTTGGAAATTTAACTGATTTTTTAAATATCTTTTATTCTTAACAAATAAAGATTAAATCAATACTATATGATGTATTTATCTGTGTTTCTATAATAGATCTTTTCAAACCACATAATATCCTAAAACTTTTGAGCACCATTAACACAGAGAATTGGGTAAAAGTATTTTGTACTAAGAAATTTACTTTTATTAAGTTAAAAAAAAAAAACACAGAGAATTTCACACATGCACTGATGATTGATTTCAAAAATTAACAAATTTATTCATTAACCAGCAAAACCCAGACAAGAAATAAACAAAACCAGCAGAACCGTCAACACACTGAAAATTAGGAAAACATCTTCAAAGCAAGGAAAGCATTGAAATCAAGCACTTGAAAGAGAGGCAGAAAAAGAACATGGCTCTAATGACTGTCAACTGATCAAACACACCTGGCAGTTAGAAAAAAAAAAACGGCCTCATGGGAAAACATTCAAAGATTCCAAGGCAATATTAAGGATTAAATCGACTGCAGAAAGCCAAAGAGTTTATTTCAGTCCCAGGTCAAAATTCATCCGAAAGAAAATCCATCTATCATTTACTTGAGATCTGACAAAAAATGCTGGCTGTCAAAAAGTTAGGTGCAGACAATTCAAAATGGCCCAGAAATAAAAGATCCTATCCCTATTTTTCAGTCAAACAATAAAATGTGAAATCTCGTTAAATTAATCAAAATATGAAAGAAATGTGAGGGATTAGCAAAAAAATAATTCATAAACTAGGATGCAATAAGACCTGGGTGGTTATCAGGTGTAAATTTATACACCTCTGTCAAAAGAAAATGGCTGACTGTACTTTAAATGTCAATAATTTGAGCCCAAGGAATCAGGTTCCCCCTTATATAATTGTATCAACATTATGCCTCTTTCATTAATTTTCTTTTCCAGAAATGTCATTTATGAATTTTCTTTTACGAAGATTAACTACATTATGAATTTGATAAAGATTATTTTTTTTCAAAATGAGATGCTTAATTGACCCCTATTTACCGTCTTGGGAGGAAATGGGTGCAGAAATTCTCCTCTTATCATGGCTTTTCCCGAATAATACCAAAATTAAAAGGAAATTCGAAAGTACCTGATCTTATGAGAAAAATGGACAAATGTCAAAAGCCTATAGATAATTCAGTGCTATGATGGATAACCAACATTTAACCGACATACTAATCATTAATTACAACAAATTTCTTCATCACACAAATGATTATCCAAAAACTTTAATTATACTTCAAGTTCATACCCAATCAATAAGTCAGGATTTTATGGCTTTTCAAACCTACAGATATTTTCGACTTTTAATATTTTCTTCCCACCTATCCTATTCTGTTAACAAGTCAATAGTTAATGTCATCAAAATTACAGTCATAAAACTGAAGAGAATGCAAAGTCATAAATAATTAGTTTTTTCCCTCAATAAAATTGCAATAAAAGGCAATTTTTTCCCTTTTTTTCCTACAAAATTTTTCAATTAGATTTATCTCCCTTTCCCCAGCAGATGGCAGCTTTCGCCCCTCTGCCATGGTGACTTGTGTTTCTGCATGGAATGTTGTCTTTGCTATGGTATAAAGATGTGTTGAGTGTTTATACCATAATGATGGCAGTGTAACAACTGAGGAATTAGCTATTATGACCATGTTTATATACATCTAGGTCTCTGATTAAGGTGTTGTGAGGTCCAACAAACATGACAGAAATTTTCCTCTTACTTGGTGTTTTGGCTTGATAAAGTTACACAGAATGATAAATGGTCAAGTTTAAATGAACATTTATCTACAAATGGGGACAGAAAATACACAGGTGGGGCTGGATATATGAATGCTTCCATACAAAAGTTAGAAGTTCACAGACAAAAGGGAGCCAAGCTTGTAGATCATAACAGTCTCTCTTACACTGACCCTAAATCATTGTGTACCAAAGTTCTGGCATACTGCATGCCGCAGATGTTTTTTGGACCAAAAATACCTGACAAACTGACACGTGTCACATTAGTTTCTTGTAACACAATCTTACATCTGCAGGCACTGCCAAATAGTTAGAGAGCCATCTACCACATCTATACAATGAATGTCATACTACATTTACATTCCTCTTTCTCTCTCCCTCTCTCTCTTCTTCCATTTGTCCATGTCATATGCTTCTTCTTATTTTCAAATCATTGATTATAACTCTGAAAGTGGGAAATCTACAAGAATTTATGACAGAGAACTCATGGTCTGACAGACATAAAATTTCTGCTTACTTATTGTTCATAAACCCTTCCCTATATACCCCCACCCCCTTTCCCCCAAAAACACACAAATTATACAAATGCTTATGCGAGATTGGTTCTTTTTCCTTTTACTAGTATATAAAGTCTTAAAGCTCAGAACTTCTGCAATTTACTTACCTGAAGAAATACAGGTAAATGGCTGATGCAATGCTGAACAGCAACACCTGAAAATACAAAAAAAACACAAAACTTTATACAGAAACATCTACTTTTGGATTTCCTTCATCACGATCATAATATTAACTATTGTCTTAATAAGCTAGGAGATTGCATGCAGATTACTGCTTTGAGGTTATAAGGCATAAGAAATGACAGCGTACTAATCATTCATTAAGAGAAACAAACCCTATCATAAAACGATGCCCGAACCTACTAATTGTCTAGCTAGGCACAGCACTATTAGTTGTAAACATGGTCTTTATGCTCCGTAAATGAGTCTCAGGTCTTATTGATATCCTAGAAGACATTTCCAAATACCTAGTTATCAGACTTTGAAGTTGAAACCCTCTGAGGAAATATTCTCCAGATTTCGAATTTCTCGATTTAATCACAACTACGTAGATACTCGTCACTCATTAGGTTTTAACGATGTTGCTGTTTTCTACCTGACTGTACAGTTTTATTAACGATTTTAATTATTTTCCATCTATAAGCCACCAATGTAGATGGGATAAGAAGTAAGGCTCATAAAGGGTGTAATTTGTCCCTGAATATACAAAAAATTTCAAAATTACTTATCAAACTAAATAACATTTATCAAACAGATATAGAATGACAAACAAATCCATAATTAATTTGATGTTTTTAATGTAACTGAAGAAAAATAATTGATAGCATCCCTATTAACTAAAAATCATATGATGAATATACATATTTGTAAACATGTTCTGTTTATATTTGATTCTTAAATTAGAACTATGAGATAATTATACTGACGGTTATGCATTTCAATGCCTTTCAGTACAATTATTATGCATTTTTGGGAGGAGGTTGGGGTGGGGATTAGAAGAGGAATGGGGGAGATTAAATCAAAAGTCATTCTGGACTTAATTAAAGGAGCCTAAATTTTATCATTCCCTGCCAAGTTTGGCCCTTGCCTGAGTTTGCTTTGAAAACCTGAGGTGAAGATATTAATGCCAGGAATCATATGTCACTCATCAAGGTGAGATAAAATAAAAAAAGAAAGTAAAACACTTGGGAGTCTATATATAATGATTTCTGAATACTGACAGGTTATTGATATGTGAAGCTTATCTGAGTAGATGGAGAAACATGGAAATTTATGATAATCACAGTTCTTTTTAATTATTGTTATTTTGTTGTTTCATTATTCATTTCTCTGTCTTTTCTCCAATTTTTTGTAAGATCTATTTTGTTCACCATAAAAATTATCTTAATTAAGAATTTGTGATAAAAAGTACCAGTATTATTTTTTCAATCATAAAAACATTCAATATTTTTGTCTAGTCTAGTTTTTGGCTTTTTAATTTGAAAATAAGTAGAATTCATATTAATTCATGAAAGATGTTAATTCTTGGATGAAAGATACCCGAAAATTCCATAAAAATTGTCAGCCACCTTGAAATCTAATGATTCTATGGTATTACATTTTACTAAACAAAGGAATAGCTTTATCTGGAACAATTAAACCATCCAAAAATACACATTTGCACTTTTCTTCTGTTAATGATATATGATACATTAAGAACCTGTTTTTCTGACAATTAAAACCTGCCTTATTTTGGTCAGCGTTAATGAGAATTTTACAAGCATTACCTGTCACAGGAGAAAAATATCATTATGTCTTAACGAGATGGACAGGTAACATGTGCAGCATTAGGAGAATCTTATTCCAGGATCCCATTAATGAAAATATCTCTGTCATAACTGAAAAATTAGCTTACATCCCCTGACCATTAATCATAATATTCCACACTGAAACACATTTAAAACAAGAGGCCCAGGGGCCACAGCGCTCACCTGAGCACATCAGGCTTGAATTTACTCCACCACCCCCCTCCAGACATTCATCATTTGAACAAACTAGAATCTACACTACCTGAGGATGATTCCATATAAATATCACAAATCATAGCTTTGAAGTACTTGAAAAGAAGATTTTAAAAGGTTTCCCATGCATGGCCTATATATCCCTATGTAAAACTTGGGTCGGCCATTTTGGCCCCACCCTAGCCCCGGGGGTCATGATTTGAACAAACTTGAATCTACACTACCTGAGGATGATTCCACATGAGTTATATCTCTCCTGGCCCAGTGGTTCTTGAGAAGAAGATTTTTAAAGGTTTTTCCTACATATTCCTATGTAAAAGTTGGGTCAGCCATTTTGGCCCCACCCTTGCCCCAGGGGTCATGATTTGAACAAACTTGAATCTACACTACCTGAGGATGATTCCACATGAGTTTCATCTCTCCTGGCCCAGTGGTTCTGGAGAAGAAGATTTTTAAAGATTTTTCTTATATATTCCTATGTAAAACTTGGGTCGGCCATTTTGGCCCCACCCTAGCCCCGGGGGTCATGATTTGAAAAAACTTGAATCCACACTACCTGAGGATGATTCCATATGAGTTTCATCTTTCCTGACCCCGTGGTTCTGGAGAAAAAGATTTTTAAAGATTTTTCCTATATATTCCTATGTAAAACTTGGGTCAGCCATTTTGGCCCCACCCTTGCCCCAGGGGTCATGATTTGAACAAACTTGAATCTACACTACCTGAGGATGATTCCACATGAGTTTCATCTCTCCTGGCCCAGTGGTTCTGGAGAAGAAGATTTTTAAAGATTTTTCTTATATATTCCTATGTAAAACTTGGGTCGGCCATTTTGGCCCCACCCTAGCCCCGGTTTATATTTGAATCCACACTACCTGAGGATGATTCCACATGAGTTTCATCTTTCCTGACCCCGTGGTTCTGGAGAAAAAGATTTTTAAAGATTTTTCCTATATATTCCTATGTAAAACTTGGGTCGGCCATTTTGGCCCCACCCTAGCCCCGGGGGTCATGATTTGAACAAACTTGAATCCACACTACCTGAGGATGATTCCACATGAGTTTCATCTTTCCTGGCCCAGTGGTACTGGAGAAGAAGATTTTTAAAGATTTTTCCTATATATTCCTATGTAAAACTTGGGTCGGCCATTTTGGCCCCACCCTTGCCTCAGGGGTCATGATTTGAACAAACTTGAATCTACACTACCTGAGGATGATTCCACATGAGTTTCATCTTTCCTGGCCCAGTGGTACTGGAGAAGAAGATTTTTAAAGATTTTTCCTATATATTCCTATGTAAAACTTGGGTCGGCCATTTTGGCCCCACCCTTGCCCCAGGGGTCATGATTTGAACAAACTAGAATCTACACTACCTGAGGATGATTCCACATGAGTTTCATCTTTCCTGTCCTAGTGGTTCTAGAGATGTAGATTTTTATTTTATTTTCCTATATACTTCTTCTATGTAAAACTTGGGCATTTTGGCCCCATCCTAGCCCCGGGGGTCATGATTTGAACAAACTTAAATCCACACTAACTGAGGATGATTCCACATGAGTTTCATCTTTCCTGGCCCAGTGGTTCTGGAGAAAAAGATTTTTAAAGATTTTTCCTATATATTCCTATGTAAAACTTGTAGAGGCCATTTTGGCCCCACCCTAGCCCCGGGGGTCATGATTTGAACAAACTTGAATCTACACTACCTGAGGATGATTCCACATGAGTTTCATCTTTCCTGGCCCAGTGGTACTGGAGAAGAAGATTTTCAAAGATTTTTCGTATATATTCCTATGTAAAACTTGGGTCGGCCATTTTGGCCCCACCCTTGCCCCAGGGGTCATGATTTGAACAAACTTGAATCTACACTACCTGAGGATGATTCCACATGAGTTTCATCTTTCCTTTCCTAATGGTTCTTGAGAAGAAGATTTTTCTTATATATTCCTATGTAAAACTTGGGTCGGCCATTTTGGCCCCACCCTAGCCCCGGGGGTCATGATTTCAAACTTGAATCCACACTACCTGAGGATGCTTCCACATGAGTTTCATCTTTCCTGGCCCAGTGGTTCTGGAGAAAAAGATTTTTAAAGATTTTTCCTATATATTCCTATGTAAAACTTTGGTCGTCATTTTGGCCCCACCCTAGCCCCGGGGGTCATGATTTGAACAAACTTGAATCCACACTACCTGAGGATGATTCCACATGAGTTTCATCTTTCCTGGCCCAGTGGTACTGGAGAAGAAGATTTTTAAAGATTTTTCCTATATGATTCCTATGTAAAACTTGGGTCGGCCATTTTGGCCCCACCCTTGCCCCGGCGGTCATGATTTGAACAAAATTAAATCTACATTACCTGAGGATGCTTCCACATGAGTTTCATCTTTCCTGGCCCAGCGGTTCTGGAGAAGAAGATTTTTTAAAAATGCCATAAATTTTTCACAAATTCATAATTATCTCCCCTTGGAAGGGGGCGTGGCCCTTCATTTGAACAAACTTGATTCCCCTTCACCCATGGATACTTTGTGCCAAGTTTGGTTGAAATTGTCCCAGTCGTTCTTGAGAAGAAGATGAAAATGTGAAAAGTTTATGCCGACGCCGACGACGACAGAGAACGGACAAATTTTGATCAGAAAAGCTCACTTGAGCCTTCGGCTCAGGTGAGCTAAAAAGTAGAACGAAAATTAAAACACACTCTGTTGATAAAATGCTAGTCATTTTCCTGATACAAATTCTAAAATAGTTTGATCTGGACAACATTTTAAGACAGTCAAACCTTGATAACCCTGATTCTTTTGTTCCCAAGCAAAATTGTCTAACAAAGTTGGTACATGTATATATCAGTATACATATTGTTCCATATAAATTTTGTCCAGAAGGTGAAGGGTCTGGAATATTGGAGTCTGGATTAATCAGGCTCCACTGTATTTCAATTGTTTCAAAATATTAAGCATGGTCGAATATTGTTTTGTTTGTTTGTTTTTTTTTTTTTTAATGATTGAATTTTTTTATGAATAGAAAGATTTCTTAATTATCACTTTTCATATACAGGTTCTTTCTTCTAGAGTTAGGTAAGGTGGGGTAGAGGATCAATGTTTGTGATCAGGCCAGCATTTTTTTATTTTTAGGTTTACGAACATCAGAATGAAAAAGTCC